AACCCCCCCATATGTACATCTATCTGTGAGGAAGGACTGAAACTTTTTTGTTGATATGAAAAAATTGAAGCCTGAAACAGATACCTGTTGTGAATAATTTCCAGCTAAATAGTTTAGGTTTCATAGAAAAAGTGCTAACCTGTTCCTTTCTTGTATTTAAGCTGTACCTCCTGTGTCCATATACATTTATTCATATCCTGCAGTCATGCATCCAGCATACTGATCCTGTCCTGGACATGCACACCCTGTTTCCTTTTCCAAACAACCATATTCTTACTAATTGAAAATAAAAGAAGAAAATATGGGAGATCAATCATTTGGATACACACCAGGATAAACACAAGTGGTATTCACTGCATTTCTAGCCTGTGCATTACCCACTATATAATTCCACCTATGCTGCTCTTTTCTGGATCAGCTGCTTAATAAATTAGTGGAAAATAGCTAGCAAGAAATTGAAGGGAATGTAAAAGCATGATATCTGGGAAGACATAAAAGGCTGCTTGAAGTGTTAAGAAATATAGAACAAAGTGTTTTCAGAGCAACAATTTAAATGACCAAATCAGTCTTCCTTCCCTTAGTTTTCTATTAATCCACTGAGAAGTCGGTCATGAAGTTCAGGTGTGTTCAGTTCATGAAGAACAAGCTGGGTTAACGCATTTGTCATCCCATTATTTCATACTCTTTTCAAGAAGCACCCTCTAGTTAACATGAAACTTTTTAGCAAACTCTAATTTCATTTTTTTCCAAACCATTCCAGTATTTTTTGCAAGGCTCCCTCTCCTACAAAAATGCCTTCCGGAGGACAAGCCATCAGTGGAGATCTCCTTATAAAGGATTCCCCAAATCGTCCTGTGGGAAGAGAATGCCATTTGAAATAAATTGCAAAATGAACTCCTTTTAGTGATTCAATGGGCTTCCAGAGAACAAAGGGTCCGTACCACTCTGTGGCAACTCTGCTTCACTTGAAACTTCTCTGCCAGGTGCCTCTGCTACACGGCTCATGCTCTCACAAGAACGGCTCACATGCAGAGTTCACCATTTTCTATGACAGCAGACCGAAAGAACTCAGCCAAGGCCGCTGTTGTCCTTGGAAACAAAAATATCTAAGAGACAGTGCTTTCTCCCTTCTGTTCCCCCCCTCCTTTCTAAGTCACCACCTTCCTCTCTGTGGTGCCAAAGCAGCATTGTAGTGTGGTCCAGCATAACATTTTTTCCTGTGTTTTGGGTTGTGGGTTTTGTGTGTTGAGGTTTTTTTTGTAGTCCACAAGACAGCCTAATGAAGGGAGGCCCACATGAAAGAAAACCCAATAGACTAAAATAATGAGTCTGGCTCAGAAGGATAAGAAACATTTTTACACATCATAGTCAGTTTGCTAGCCTTTGTGCAATACTCTAAGTTGTGATATATGATTTATTAATTTGTTTTTCTATTCATTTGCATTTAATATTGCAAGACAAATTTTAAAAAAGCTGACAGAACACTAATTTATTTCGTAAAGGATTTGCAGAAGTCTTAATAAGCACTTGTTTTGTGCAGAAATACAAACATTGTGTCATTAAACAACACTGCTTCTGGAAGAGAAAATGCTGCAAACCCTTAGCCCTAAGACAGTCGGACACGCACATCTTAAAAGACTCCGTCTTGAACCAAGTTCTCCTATTAGCCTGCGCTGAACTGCATGCAGAATCACGCTAGCTGAAGATCATTTTTAAGAGACTTTGAAGGCTCGGAAATGCTCTGCATGTTTAATGTTTTACACGCAGCTGCTATGAGGGCCTTAAGTATGTAACTCTTGGGAAGGCTCAGTGTAAGGCCGCCCTCTGACGGCAAGCCTTTCCTACAGCTAGCGCAGGGAGCGGGACGGGCTGCACGCATAGTCCCCAAGGTAGAAGAAACATGTCAGAGCTGGTCTCTTATATTGGACAGGATATAGGCATCAGCGTACGCAACCTTGACCTTTCAGATTTCAAGTTGGAAACAGTTGTTACACTCGACTTCTCTGCCAAAATGACAAAAGCATCATTTCCTCATTGTCTACACATTACACTGGAGCTTTGCTGCACTTTGTTGTTGCACTCAGCAGAATTTGGCACGGGGACTGGATTCTCTGTCCTTCCTTTTGTACACTGGGGTCTTGTAAATTCTGGCCTCACTGAAGGGCTGCGATAAACATCTTCATAGCCTCGTGCCTATTACGGTTTGAAACCGCCCTCTAGAGCAATTGCAACAGAATAGTGCAGAGCAGTAACTTACCTGCTGTCATATACCCTTTTTCCTTTCCATTCCCTCCTTACCCTGGTTATCTCTGTCAGGAAGGACTAATACAGAATTCCTGTTAGTCCTGTACAAGGTAAGAGAAAATAGCACAGCACAGTGCTGCTGGACTAGTGTAAAAGAGATTGTAATTCAGAATAGAACCTGTATCTTCAACTGCATGTTACACAATGACATGATTCTCAAGCATTCCTGACAAAAACCAAATAAATCCAAAACCCACCAGCTTTTCTCCAGGTCGGGATTTAAGCCCTGGAACACCGAATACGTATCAGTATCACTTTGAAACAGTAGCAGATAGATATGTCACACAGTTGTTTTGTTGCTTGCTGCATAGAAAGCACCTTACATGGAGGATTAGGTGGTAGCTGCATCTGCGACTTCAGGAGAGGAACATAAATAAACCTATTTTTTCATAAAGACACCAAGTAGTCAATCTTTTGGGACAAAATGTACTTCAAAACTAGTTTCAGGACACCATAATTAATGCCTGAGCGAGCTAGGAATTATTATAATCATCTTCTCATACTATTATTTAACATACAATACCTGTTTTGCAATTCTGCACCACGCTTGCGTTGCTTGCAATTTTGAAGTTTCACACTTACAAAGAAGCTAAACTGGCAGCATCTAAGCCCATCAATTGAAGGCATGTCCTTATGAACTCCTCCTAGAAAGTCAGACAATCTACTCAAAGAGCAATTCATGTACTTCTATTTGTTGCTGCAAAGCAGAGTGGGCCGGCAAATATAGAGCCAGAATTCCAGAATATTTCCATCCCTGCTATGTGTGGATGAGCGTGGAAGAAGAAATAGAGTGATAGTACTTAGAAGTATGATGATTTGGATATTAATTTTACAGTAAGAATTATTTCCTTTGCATTGCATTGCCATACTACTTTGCTGCTGGATGACATTTTGCGTGCACCTGTACACAGTAGATGCTGAAATAAGTTAAAGAAGGTGGCTTACCTTGTGTTGTCCCGTCTAGTCCCATGAGACATTTCATTGCCCTGATGATTTGCTCTGCTACGGGTGGACACATAGACGTGGCGTACACAGCACTGTGAGAATGAGTTCGTAAAAAGTCCACGAGGTCCTTACACAAGCAAAACAAAACATGAATGAGCTTTGAGCTGGCCAAACAGTGGATCACCCTCTTAATTACTGCAGAAGTGAGAACATGCAAAAGGAAGAGGATGTTTCACCAGTTATTGGTTTGCTTTCTTGGCTGCTACTGTTAATACATGGCCTGAAGAAACTTCAGGCCGGTGCAAACACTTTACCGTATACAGTGGGGCAATTACAGCTGAAACAAAAGTCTGGAGTAGAATACTGTTTACTTCTGTGCTAAGATTTATTATAAAGCAGCCATAATAATTTAAAGACCAATGAACAGCTGCACTTAAAATACTGTTCAGTTCCTCTCTGTGAATGAAGCAAAGTCTACATGTCATCAGCATAGTTCCTCTGCCACAAGACCTAACCCAGGAGAAGCAACCTCACTGAGATCTATCTTTGGCTATTAGCATATAAATTTCTTTCAACTGAAACTTTCCATCAGTGTGGCGGGGAGAGTCGGTATAGTTGGTTTAACATTTCCTTGTATGACTAAGACCACAATCTGCCCTCCTAGAAAAAGCACTGATGTACTGTGGACATGTCTAAAGCATAAGTAACTCTCTTGAATCCAGGGACGCTGCAGGAATTCAGCGCTTGATTAAGACCATCATGGTTATGACAGCATATACCTCCTGGTGCAAAATATCAGAGTAACAGTTACCACACCAAAAGCTAAACGCATGTTAGTAAGAAAGGGACAAAGCCTGCTTGAAAACTGCCTTTGATAAAAAATATCACCAGAAAAAAACTCCGAAGATAGTAACAGAAATTATTGCCAAAAAAGCTGTATGAGTCTATGTGGTAACTCCAATGCCAAGGATAAAGATTTACTTAACCTTATACAGGTTATGCATTGCTATATTGCAATTGTAATCCTAAAGATTTGATCAAATAGCTGAGAAGGCTTCCGTGCTCTAGCTGATGCAGAATAAACAGTGCCACAGTGAGATTTTGGCTGCAGAAATGAATGTAAGTGTGCTAAGTGTGTTGGGTGAGCAGCTGCCACCAAGGCCCAGAAGCCCGAGGCAAAGCTTGGTGATACTCACAGACGTGAAGAGAGTGACCCACTTTCATTTAAGAAAACTTACAAGGATTAGATGATGAATTACTTTAGACTGCTTTTCACAGGTCTAGGCTCCCTATAATTTCTAGTTACATTAGCCACATTGTAAGAGTTAAACCTTCAGATACAAATTCAGGAAGCAAAGGAAACAAGGAAAATTGGTTCTTGATGTACAGCCTATTTTAAGATCTCCAAGGGCAAACCCAAAAAAGACAGTAAGAAATATACACTTTATACTGTCTTATAACCATTTTATTCTACTCAAGTGCTACCCTTATTAATGTTATCCTGACAACAACCATATGGGCTGTCTAAACAGGCTTCTTACTCATTCAGCAAACTACTTAAATACATTCAGAAGGGTATGAAAAGGGTAAATAATCAGCAACCACTTGATATCTTTGTCAAGCAACAAAACCGATAACATTTCACAATGGTGCTGATGAAGCTTTCTCTTCTACACCCCCAGTTAAAACAAGCTCAGCTCTACTTTTTGTTGACATGTATTGTTGGCAAGAGATTGTTTTGTTAATGTACACAGAGCAACTGAGGACATGGATTTTATTATTGCAAAAGACCCTCAGTAGCACTCTTTCTCCATCCTCCTAAAAAATGCAAATATGACAATCCACAGCTGTTTAGGAATTTTATTATCGGTGGATGAAACTGTGGCTTTAATCTCTCAATATTGCTCCACACACTGTTTACAAACGTGAAACAAAGTAACGAGCAGTCTGCATGCAAATTAATGTAGTGAAGTATATTTAGCCAACCACAACGTGTCTAAACATTTCCAAGACAAACAACAATCATCAGGGTGGCACAGAAATACTCAACCCAAGCATATTACATAATGTGAACATGAGAGAAAAATAAGAAAGTCTGACTGTTTGATGTGATTCAGGCAAAAATGGTACTGACTTTAGAACAGTGCTCCTGCAAAGCAGTCTATGCAAAAAGATAATGAAATATATCATACGTAATAAGAAGGTACTTCCCCCCCGCCCCCCGATGTTAAAATGTTTGTGTTTTCCTTTTACCTTTTTGCCAGCTATGTATCCTCCAGCTGCGCCAAAGCTCTTTGTGAATGTTCCCATTAGCACGTCAACATCATCAGGACTCATACCAAAATATTCCACAACCCCTCGGCCCGTTGCGCCCACCGCACCGATGCTGTGAGCTTCGTCCAAGTAGAGGTAGGCTTTGTATTTCTTCTTCAAGAGGACTATCTCTGGCAGGCGCACGATGGACCCTTCCATGCTGCAGATGGAGAGAATCATGGATGAACAACAAATCCTGTACTCTTTTTAAGATACTGCCAGAAAATACAGGCATTAATTGCCTTACTCCATGAAAGATCTTCTGGAACCTCAATTTGTATTTACAGTTCGAAGAAAAATTGCAACCCTTTCCCATCTGCAGGTGAGTGTAAAACAGTCAAACATTTAGAATTCAAACAACAAAAGCCAGTCAAAGAGTCTTTGGACATTTGCAAATTTTTAACATGCCAGAAAGGAGAAAAAAAGGTATAAAGCAAGGGGGAGATACTCACTCAAAACAGCACATTACAATTCACTACAAAACAAATATAATGAATTATAAGGAACCACTGTAATTCAGTCTGGTCCTTGCTTACTTCATCATCAGCTACCGTGGCAATATTTGGGGGGAAAAACATTCCTAGATCAAATCACCCTGGTGCAAAGTAGTTGCGTCTAACGTACACAGGAGATGAGCCACCTGAAATGCACAGACAGCACCATATCTCAAAGCAGCCCCAGTCTTCAGAGTGGACAAAATCAGGGATTAGAAAAGGGAGCTCAAATCCTCTCTTGCCAATTGTTTCTGCCAATACATACTTTTAAGGAAATGCAGCCTGCTACCTAGTACTCAAAAGGAATAAAAATTCCTTTCTTTTTCTTTTTACTTTCTTACAGCCATGCAGGAAAAGGAAACATTCTGAACTTGCATTAATGGTGTATAGAGATTTGTAGAAATAAGAAGAGATGATAAATCTTTTGTATTGTTGCTAATCACATCAGTACGTTAGAAGGCACAGAGGAGATATACAGTAAAATGAAAGCCCAGGGAGACAAATAAGAAATGCACTCTAATCCTTTAAAGATGAAGTGTCAATAGTATTGCTGCGAAGATTGTTACGTCTTGCAAACCTTTGTGAAATGACTACAGCTATGCTTGGATATGCTCTGATGCACTCAGTATTCATTTCATAATGAGTTAAACATGTTCTCTTATGCCAGCTCTAGTGAGCAGGTCTTTAAAGGCTAAATACTTCCTATCAAAACCAAAGTGAGAGTGCTGCATGCCAGGAAAACCAGCGCTCTGTGGCTGAGGCCCACGGCTAAGGTGTATCTGATGGCAAATGCTCAAGAGTTTCAGGTAAGCAGAAATGTTGAGTTTGTTCCCAAATAGCACGTACAGAAGAGCAGTGCAATCAACGCAACTGCTTGGCAATTTTTAGATGCTGGACCAGTTGCTTTCACAGATTGTTTTATTGCCACTCTAGCTGCACCATGTAGCTGGAAATTTGACACCAGAAAAGGGGCAGGATGTACTTTTAGCACCTGGGAAATTTCTGACAGTCTTAGTCCTTCTTCATCCTTTGGTCTCCTGAGTAAGCCTGGAAACAGCTTGGTCTCCAGTTTTGAAGGAGACCTGCCCATACGCAAATCTCCATTAGTTTGAGAGAACAGCACAGTGGAGCAGCCACGAACAAGGGTTGCCTGTACTGTTCGTACTGGGAGGTTCAGAGACCCTGGCTGTGTGCACCTGCAGGCATATTTTTGGCTGTCAGGTGACTTCTGGCAAATCTTGCCCTTCTGTCTTGCCCTAGAAGAGGCAGCTGTGGGGCTGTAAATTGGCACCATGGTCTCTTGCAGCAAAGAAGGCTGGATTTTCTCACTTTTTCACTTTTCCCAAATGGCGCTTGGCAGCTGGTGGAGAAACAACTTGAACCACCACAGCTATTTTCCTAATGAATACAAGGGCAGAGCCCACAGTTCTCAAGTAGCCCCGAGTCAAAGCATTAGTCAGCTAAAAATTATATCGAGCCACTGGGTGTGCTTGGGCATGCAGCATCGTACATGCTGGGGATGGCAGCTTTCATCTGCAGCTAGATTATATGGTCAGAGAGTGAGAGTGGTGCCAGGGAGCACCTCTGCAGAGGGAAGTGGATAAGCATCCCACCCTCCATCTTCCAGCAATACCTGGGCACAGAAGGATAGTAATAGTTTTTCCACATTTACACGGACGTCATTAGGCTTAGTGGCTCATGGAGATTCAGATGGGAGAGACAGAATTTATCTTCAAAAGGACGAGTAAAAATGGTAAATTAAAAATGCAGAGCTTGATTTGCTGCATATTTGTGGAATGGAAGCAAAGTTGTTGCTGAATTGCAGAATACATAGAGTTGGTACATGGCTGTTGCAAGATTTAACCATTAAGAGTATTTAATGAAAACTGCTTACTAGTACGAGTAGGAGATTTATTTTTGAACTCTAAGCCGTTTAGCAAAATAAGGCACTTGTATTCAGTTTCAGTGTTGATGTAGTGCTCTTGAAAGATGCTGGCTGACATAAATGTTACAATAGTTGACCGAGATCCTAACATGGCCTTGAAGTAGACAAACCGCTGCTGGTTTTGTGTATGTTTTCTGTGCTGCCATTCAAACAGGCCTCAGCCCTCCTGATGGCAGAGATGAGAGCTGTGCTGCTGCCTGCTCTGTTCTTGGTCTCTCTTTTGACCCCGAGAGATGGTTTGTGATATGAACACGGCTCTGTTTAGAATTGCTCCAAGATAAAGCTCACTTCACATAACTCCTTAGGTAGCCCAAATAGAAAGTTTACTGAATCCTTCAGTAAACAGCGAGTTTAAGCCGGAGAGCCAGAAGTGAACTGTAATTGCTCTGTCTCAGTCTGGTTGTGTCACTTTTACAAAGTTACTGATCTGTTTCCAGATCTGCTCAAGCACACAGGGCACATCAAAAAAGCTAGATGCAGATGAACATAAGCTGGCTCTGCCCAGGCCAGACATCTCATTATGTTGCATTACATCACGTCTTGTAGCAAAAAGTATTAGCTTGGTGGCAGGGATGTAAAGATTCTAGATAGCAGCTGACCATCATCTCCCTTATTCGGTGGGTGGGCACAAAAGCTTCTTTCAGTACTCACTCAGTTTGAATCTACTTCCAGATGTGAGGAGATAATCCAAAATTTTGGGACCACTGAATTTTGAATCTTGATTCAATCCCTATCAAACCACTGAGATTCTTCCTGATGCAGCTGATGAATTGTGGAGCCAGGTGCTTTGAGAGATAGGGGGTGTGCACTTGTGCTGGTCACTTTACTTGGAACACAGGCTCGCTCTTGACAGGATACTGACAGGTTTTTTATGGTTTATTTTGAAACTTCTCAGGAAAAGAGTTTTCTACATCCTACTATGGTACCCCAGTTTTGTTGTTGTTGGTGTTTTGTTTGTTTGTTTGTTTTTTTTCTTTTCTGTCAGGAAAATTATATTACTGATATTCAACCTATTATCTTCTTCATAATTGTATCACTCAACATCTCTAAACATGCCCTATAGTACCACCATCCTTTCAACATTTGAAAACTTGATCTGTTCCCCTTTCAGGCCAGTTTGTAATTGGGAAAATCCCTCCTTTCCTGACCTGTTACTCCCAAGATGTATGCATTCCCTTTTATTGTTTACTTTAGGTATTGTTTTCTTACATAAACCTTGCACGTTCACACAACAATCTCTGTTTTACAGTTCAGAGCGACAGTTTTAAGGAAAACTTCCCATACTGCCCTCAAATACAACCTCATATACTGAAACGATAGAAATATTAATCTTTAATGCTGGTCCCCAGCCAAAGACATTAATGTTACCCTATTCTTTTCTGGAAGTCCAGTCACTTAATCCCAGGAAATAAAAACTAACCCTGATAAATTTCCTACGGTATTGGCATTGAATCCCAAGGAACTTCTAATGCACATGAAAAGGCACTAGGCAATATCTAACTGATCAGAGAACTATTTTCCGAGCTGGAAGGGAAAATGCCCAAATTGAATTAAAAGCAGGGAAAAACCAAATGAAACACAATCTGTTTTGATCAGTTTCTGGTGCCCTGTAACTCCTGCCCTGGGCCTTGGCCTATCGGACTCCTAGGTAAATATGTGTGCAGGAGAGCAGAAGCCTACCACAAACCATGTAAGAACACAGTAACTGATTAATCCTGAACTGGAAATGGTAGAAGCCAAGGAAAACATCAGCTGGAATTTAAATAATAGAAATATGATTTAACAAGTCAGTGTAACTTGTGCCCTGGACACAGCCGAAAACTGTTCATGTTTTTTATACTGAAGATTGATGGCTAGATGGTCTCTCTCAGTTTGGAATGCAAATGGAATATATTTGCTCCTAACCTAGTCCAAGCTAAGAACCAGCTTTCACTAGTAGTTACATTTACTTCTGATGGTTTTTTTTCTTTTTAAGATAATGCAGACATTAAAAAGCAAACAAACATATACTTATTGCTGTTTATTTGACATGTATCTTGAGTGCTTCCCAAGTGGAGGGGCCAATTCTGCCTTCACTTGTAACCAAGCAAAATCTGTGGCTTATGGTTTCAAACACAAGTCTGATTTTCAGAAATGCTCATGTTGGCCAACAAGGACCCTTTTCAAATTTTGCCAGCTGGTAAGTCCAGGTTTATGCACAGTGTAAACACTTTAACATACTCCTAATAGAAACAGAAGGCAAATTTTTTTTCCATACCATCAACTTTGCCATACTAAGACTATGGTGTCCTATATAACAATATTTTTTTAAAGAAGGAAAGCTTAGTATTTCTTTTGCATCTCTGGAAAAAGCATTTCTGTAACAATTTGCCAAGCCAAACTTGCAAGTCAAGATATTTTAACTTGGAGAATGGCTCTGACCAAGTTATTTAAATTCTGTATTAGTTGTCCCAGAAGCATAATGTCCTTTAAAGAAAAAAATATAAAAAACCAGCACTAGCTGTTGTAAGAAGAACACATTAACAACACTCTACCTCCTCTTAAACCCTCTAGATGAATGTTAATTTGACATCTGGCAAATCCTCAAGAAAACTAACATTAGCCAATATGGGGTTGGAAAATTTTAGTCTCTTTCAAAAATCATGGGCCAAGAAAGGAAAGAACACGCACACACACAAAAAGGAGTATTTCTAATATGTCTTTCTCCAGTTTTTCTTTTGCATATGAAATGTTATTAGCTACTTACTGGATTAGACTACATGGCCTGTGAGTCTGTTCCCAGCAGTGCTGTAAGGACAGATCAGCTGCGTGCATCTCAGGCTGGCAGTGATGGCAGGGGTACAACACGGCAGGGCGTGGTGGTATTCTCCCTCAAGTCAGAGCAAACTTGCTTTGCAACCAAACCACAATCTTCAGTTTCTGATCTGCTTAGACTATGAAAACAACTAACTAACCAACCAACCTAGCTACTGCTAGGGCTACTTTCCAAGGAGAGACTATTAGAGAACTGAGCTTTGTTTTTCTTTTACTTTATGCCTTTGACAAGCATAGACACTCAGAGCATGTATGACCTTAATATTATTTAGCACTTATGGGGCTGAAGAAACTTTATGGTTCCTTTTTAGTGAGGTTCTCTGAGGTTTAACATGTTTTTAGTTTGCATTCCAACAGAAGCTTCTTCAAACTTTAAAGAATGAAATCTCCTTTGAAAATGAACTGCAAAACTAGAGGAAAAGAAAACTCTATATTACATATACATCTGAAAATATAGTTACAGTTATAGTTGCAAATATTTGACAGTGGGTTTGTGCCACTGCTCGGACCAATCAATGCTTCTGTGTCGCCAGTCTACCTTCTTGCTCCCTAGTGGTCACTATACAGGGTAAAGGATTTAAAAGTGAAAAAAGCTCAGCAGCTGGAGCAGTTTCTGCAGGCCCTGTGACCAATGCGAATATTTGTCAGTAAAATGTTGGTGGTCTACTTAATTTCTGCATGATCAAAGTCCTTAAATCTGAGCTTTCTTTTAGTAGTGCCAAGCTATGTTTATTTGCAGTCTTGCTCTGTTTATCCTGGTTGAAAGGAGACGTTCAGCCTGCTTTGGATCAGCTGGTCTGCTGCTGACCTGTTTCAGCTCTGAGTGACAGGTGTTTAGATAAGGACTGATTTGTTCTCTTTGCAGATGGAAAATGTTAGGTAAAAAGAAAGCACTGAAAACTATGAAGTTGGGATGACATAAAATCGTAAAAGATTCCATACGAAAAAAAGCTAATCAGCTCAGCTGTGCTAGCATTTCTCAATAAAAAGGAATAAATGAGTGCCTATCTAGACTGGCTGTATTTCAGCAATGCATGATATGATGCCTACATAGAAAGTTTAATGTTGCTTTCATAAACCATATCACGTCCTGTGAATGAGCAGTTCTGATTTGCTTCTCTCTGGTGCAGGTGTTCCTACTCCCAAAACTATCCTTCTCCTACCCCCTGCTTCTCCCTGCTTCTTCAGCCCTTCCCTCCTCTTCATAATCTCTGCCTCTCCTGCTCCAGCTCCTTGCCCACCAGTGGCTCCCCCTCCATGCCATCCACCAGCTCCATGGCTGCCTCCCCAGCCACCTTCTCCTGGCTTGAGCGGTTGCCAGGATAAAGCCCAGGATGGTGAGTCTGGCTGGTGCCTCTGCTTTGCTGCTCATCCTCTAGTGATGGTTTGTCTTTCTGGTTGAGTGTAAGATGCACCACACTAGTGAACCAGAGCTGACTAGGATGCTCTATAATTACATGGTATTATTGATGCTGGTATTATCTGATGGATTCTCAAAGGCACTGCTCTTCAAACTCCTCCAGGGACTGGGGCTACATGAAATACCACTACTATACAATTCTTTGAAAACCAGTCTTTTAATTGTTTTTGCTGTTAAAGTATGAGTCCATTAGATCTAGCACTAATTACTAGAAAGGTGCTGGTATCACTTGGCCTATGTTCAGCTGGAGGTTTAGATTCCAACAGCTGGGTAAGAACTGCTCATGCAGAACTTAATTAGTTCTGCGTAGCTGCCTTTTGATCTGCCCGTGCACAACAAACAACTCTAGAAAACTCAGCTTACTCACTTAGCAAAACTCCTCACCTACTATAGCTCCATGAATTTTATCACATCTGTGACAATATACACCAACCAGCTGATGATCTGTCTTGCTCTCACAGTGCATCTCCCACTCCACTGTGATTTGCTAAATCAATATTCAAAACAATGCACAGGATCTAACTGGAGCAAGTTATACCAGGGTTCAGACTGATATAATGGAAATTAACATATTTATAAGATCACAGAATGTTATCGTAGCCTCCACTCTCATTAAGATTTCTCTCAGATACGTAGAATCAAAGTTCACTTCACTCAATATATCATTCTGTCCTCAGAAATGATAAAGAGCAGTCATGTTTCTAAAACACAAACATACCTGTAAATGCCCTCCACGAGGATGATAATTTTTCTCCATGCTCTGCGGCTTCGAGGCTGCCCATATATTATTGCATCCCTCAGCAACTTCTCAAGGCTCTGCATATCTTTATGTAAAAATAAGAAAAAGGAGAAAGGAAAAACATTAACAAAGATTTTTCTAAAGAACTTTTGATTTTCTATTGGGCATTAGTTTTTCCTATACAGAAAATGTCAACATTAAAAAAATGTGTCCTGAAAATAAACTTCCTTTATTAGTAGGCAAGACCCAGTGATTGATTTAATTTCCTGCATGCAATCTAGTAACAAGGAGAGTTACAAAAAGCTTCCAGTTATGCACCTTATCTGGGTAACTTCTAGAAATTCTTGGCATACATTTTTATTTAAAGGCAAAGGGAACCAGTTTGCTTAAATACTGAGGCTAATTGCCAGCAGTTGTCTCTCTGGTTCGCTGATACTCATGCCTAAAGGCTTCTGAATAGTAAATTTTTGCTTTCCAACATCATTGCAGTTTCATGAATAGCATGCACTGCTTCAGCTAAGGTTTGGATCAGGCTGCGTGAAGCATGTCAGGATGGCAATAAGAGAAATCTTGTCCTTCTCAAGAAGGAAAGTGAGTGAAAGATTGCTGATGAGAGAGGGAGAGACAAGTGGACACAAGCACAGGGCATGGATGCATTAACTTGGTGCCAAAATGCTTGGCACTGGTGGAACTTTGATATAAGGAGGCCTGGAACAACGTTAGAAACTTAGCTGCTTTCTCAAGGGCTGAGTGTGGATAATCTAATAAAAATTCTTGAAGAAAAGCCATTGAAGTTTTGAAAAACATGGAAGAAACAAGAAGAAACATCGCAGGAATAAGGGTCAGACCAAATGTGACTCTCAATGCAGAGTTGAAATCTAACCAGCATACTGGTGTCTGCGCATGAATGAACACTCACCAAAATGAATTATTCTGGTACCTTTCAGGAATCTGGATTGACATTTCAAAATGTTTTCAACGAACATCTTACAGAGACTCACAACACCGCGAGGAACACTACGAACCAGCTCAAATTGTGAGCTGAGAAAAATCAATAGCATTTTTTCACAATATAACCCCACTTTTTCTGCAGCACATCTTTATGCAGTTATTACAACCTTCTAAAATAGTACAAGGCTGATCTGTAAAATACAATTGTCCCGACCGAAGAAAATACACCTTAGCTATATAGCTTGGTTACTACCTGACTGAAACAGAGCCATTTGCACAGTAACTCTTCCATCACAAATAAATTGTGACCTGAGAGATGGCCAGGTTATGACATGAACCCTTCCACCTCACCTCCTGCTAGTACCATTTACTGATCTCAGTGAAAGCTAAATTTCTCAGAAACACCTGTGCCACTCTGCACCCTACTGTGTAATCTCTTGACCTAGCAAGACCTTGTTATAACTTAAAAAGCACAATACATGCATGATAAGTTGTCCTTTACTTCAGTGGTACAATCATCTGCACAGCTCAATGAGCTCCGAGATGGAAATACCATTACGAATGATGCAATGCAGACAGCACAGCTTCCACTAGATGGCGATCAAGGAAATAAAAGTTCCTTGGTGCTTTAAAAGGGGAATTTATAATCCAGCTGAGCGTTTGCAGTACGTGCATATTTCATAGGAGAGAGCTGCTCACCTTCTCTTTTGTTTTGAGTAGATAACATTCAGAAATCCTTTTGAGTTCTGAGCATTAAAGGACTTCCCAGGACGACAGAAAGCTCAGTCAGTCACTCAAAGTAAAATTTGGGCACCCCCTTTTCTCCACTTAATTATTTCTCTACCAACGCCACTGTCATCTAAATACTTTTGGGACCTTTGAAACTGTCCTCTGAATCACACAGGGCCTTTCAATTCAGTATTCTGACTCTGTGTCAGTCCAGATTTGTTCTAGACTTCAGGAAAGGCAGTTTGCCCAGTCCTCCGAGCTGAAAGCATGGCTTGAAGATTCAGTTGTTTTAACATATATCCACATGAAAAGAAAGGAAGAAAAGAGAAGAGGATAGAGAGAAGTAAAATGTATATAACTGTTCAATAGAGCTGTTTAAAAAGTACATGAATGTGAATAACTCCTCAGTCCAAACTGATGTTGAACAGGAGACTGCAGACGGGGAAGAACCTCTCTGAAGGATAAGCTTGCTTGACTTTACACATGACATAGTCCTGCTGGAGTACAGGCTAAGGACTTGTCTGTTTGCAGTATCAGGGCTATCTCGCTTTGGTTTCGGTGCCTTATTATCAAAAACAGGTATGTGTGACCCTTTCTTATGCCTCTAACAGTCAACACATAACTTGTTTAGGTGCACATGAATTTTACTGGCCTTTTTAGTCTGCGCTTGTAGTGCCTAATTTGGAAAGGAAGAGAAAAACTGTTACCGTTAATCTTCCCCCCAAAGGGCTGCTTCTGTTATTCAAAGTGAAGATGCAGTGCTCTCTATGTCCTTGTGCTTAGACTTTCCAGAAAGTGGGATATACTGAACCCCAGGAAAAAAAACCAACAGTGCAAGCCCAGGTGACTTTCAGATATTAAATTATTTGCCCATTAAATAAAGTTAGACTGTGATACACCAGAACATTGAGATGATGAGTTGCACGAGTCCATCTTGAATAACCAGTTATGGGGAAAATAACTGTCCTTCCTTGTTTGACCATCACCAGCCCAGGCTTTTCAGCGGTAATGGCTAACAACCGTTCACCAGCCCAGGAGGTGGCGTTAAGAATTTCTCTTGATTCATTAGTCAAAGCATAATTAAATCTATCCTTGTCTCAGTTCCCACCTTGTCCCTGTGGCATATTGTCTAGATATGGAGGATAAAGGTTCCTAAGTGGGGACAGTGGATCGCTTAGGTTTTTTAGAATTTAATACAGACTTGCATAATCCTTGTTTGGGATCCTTCAGAGTGACTTCAACAGAAGCACCAACACCACAAACCACCAGTGGGTCGAAGTGAGCCTGGACCTGGGCAGGCAGCCGTGTGTCATGCTGCCTCCAGTGCAGGTGGGACTCCAGGCTCCTGGAGTGGCCCCTGCCCTGTCCCAGGCACACTCAGTGCCTCCTTGCAGGGAGACACAGCGTCTCCACCCCTCATCCTTACATTGCAATGCTGGGCATGTCATCACTGTTCCTCTGTGTGGGCTGGAAATCTCCTGCATGATGTCAGCTGACTCCTTTTTAATTAAAATAAACAGGCTACTACTACCCTTATCACATTCTTATTTCCTTCATCCTGTGTTGCCACTCTCATTTTCAGTTTCTTCCATTTTGCACTCTCATGTAAGTTCATGCAGACTCTGTGGCTACCTATCCCTTCTCAGCCTCCCATGCAACCACCTCTCCCCTGCTGCAGTGCATCTGCCACCTCCTTTCTTGCTCTCCCTCCCGCTGGTACCTTTCCTGGTCACTGTCCTTTTGTGGGCGACTCGAGTGGCTAGCTCCAATGCTGTCCCTCCTTGTAGATCCCTAAAGTAACAAAGGGAAACCACCACAACGGTTGTGTTGATATAAACCATAACTGTAGGACTGTAGAAGGTGGTTTTCATTCTATTGAAAACTAGTCTTTGAAAAGTACCTGACTACTGGCACAGCTCTGAACAACAAAAGCATTTTTAGAGTCATTTCCCTGAAATCACCCCTTTGAATATCTTCATTTGGAATGGGGTGGTGGGAATGGTGATTACTGCAGCCACAGTAACAGTCTGAGACTCCCCTCCCTGCCCCTTCAAAATATATATATATATATGTGTGTGTGTGTGTGTCTGTGAAAGTAAAGTGCACTCGCTCAGGAAAGCTTCCTCTTCACACTTGGCCAGTCAGACGTGGCTTTCTCAAATCAGAGAGGGCAAATGCAGACACAGCATGCTAGGAACAGGATATACCAGTCTCCTCTCTGTGGCAGCGTCTGTATGTGTCACAGGGAAATACAAGCCAAACTGGATTAGGCTGTGGCCCACCTATCTGGTGCAATAATCTTGTCTCTGATAGTGGCCAGAGGCTTCAAGGAGGACAAAACCTTAGTGGGTAGTGTGCCTCTCATCCTGCTCTGTAATAGCTATAACACCGTCCTCCCTTCTTAAATTCAAGGGCCACTTACACCTTTGAGAAAAAATAAATAAATTAAGGAACCATCTTGTACTAAGCCACTGCAAACTCTTTGGGTTTTGCAATCAAAGAGATTTTTGCTAATTTTTACCTGTTCATTTATCTCTTTTGTTTCCTCCCTATTTTATTTGCTTGCTTGCTTAAAGGCATGCACTTAGAGTTTTCCACTTCTTTATCTTCTTTCCTTCTTTTTTGCTAGAGAATATATTTGCACTGAAAGGTGAGGGCCTTCCGCTGGCTAAAAGGTCTTTCAGTGTTAATTACAACTCCTCCAGCTAGCTGTGTTTTCTCTTTAAGGTGTCCCCATGGCACACATATCTGAACTCCAAAGCATTAATTTGACTGAGTAGACTGAGAAATGCCAGAGTTGGATTAACATAAATTCACAACTGTTGTCCAAGCACATAACTATGTTTTGTATGGAAACCTGAACAGCTCACACCTGCATGACACACTTCTGTCATCAACCACCTGATTTGCGAGAACCCAGAAAAACCCTTTACTACTTTCACAACACTCTGAAAAGGTGCGTAAGGAGGAGCTAGGAACATACTACTGTGATCCCTATTTCAGATGTGGGTCCAAGCAGCAGATTAGAAGCCAGATTTTCATCTAACCAAGGTGCTTGGTTCTACCTTGCAATTGCCCGCCCTCCTCGTAGTATCGCTTGTTCTGATTGCACGTTGAAGTGCCTTTGCAATGGAGAGAACTGGAAATTTTTCTTCCCCATGGCCTGATTTCTGTATGTAGTCATGACATTACCACAGACTGCTCATGCAATTGCAAATCTAAACCTAAAAATATGACTGCAATTGAGTTACTTGATGCTATAGGTGAAAAATGTAGTAGAACTAGAAAGAATAAACAAATCCCAAGCCTTGTACAGCACTTTCTTATACAGGCCGATACGAACAGAATTCACTTGGATGTAGTTAGTCAGTAACACAACTCATCCGTCCACTGAATGAACAAAGA